CAGTAATAGTCTTATTTGGGTGTCTAATGGCTTACGACTCGACGGTCGATGATATGCGTGAAGCGGACGTGATAACTTTGGACTTTCATATTATTTCCCAGCCCTAAATCGAAATCTACGCACATCAAATACACTTATTTATACCAAATATTGCCATTTTTAATAATTTTGCAATGCTTAGGGTGCGATAGTTGGCGACTATGCTCATTATTTTGATCCAAATGCTACCAATAACCAATCTCGTCTCGAGTTTCTTACTATCGATGATATTCTTCGTAAACCATCGGAAGATTCTTCTTTCCAACATAGCTTGACGTGCGAATACAGGTGAGAATCAATCCTGTTAAAGTTATATGATTGAATTTCCAATTCAGTTGGTGGGAGGGTACATGATTCTATAGGTTCAATGAGCTTTCTTGGTCCCCTCTGAGGACGGACTTACACCCATCCGGTTTGGTTTTTGGAGGAACAGAAAATGGGACAGTAGTATTCTTTGATGCACAAGCATTCGTAACTAGTAAGTCTTTTTAACAAACTTCTTTGTTATGATTCAGGCGCGTTTTATAGTGACTAAAGTTTAGTTCTAAGCGTGTGCGAAGCTAGGTTTTGATTTTATTCCTTACCTCTGATTCCTTGCTCCTGTGATATCTTTATTTTTAGTTGCTTTTTCCAGACAACTCGCTTTCTATCGTGTCCTCCAGGCGAGACCATCAGGGTCACGTACTTTCCGTAGATCATTCCGCTGACAATCGATGGGCTATTTCTGTTGGAGGTGCAGCGCAACTACTACTTTGGGATTTGACCAACTTAGCTACACCATTTTCCCCGGGTGTATCAAATTTCACAGATCAGGTAAGTGCCAACTTTTTATCTTTTATTTCTTAGATTTCTTTTGAATACATGATTTTTCCTAGGAGGGTCGGTTTGAAATTGTAAGTGTGGGTGTCTATCACTCTTTCTTTTCGCTTACCTGTGTTTTTGGGTTGTGGGGACTACATTCCTGCAAAATTTTCGTAATAGAAGGTGGAGGTTCACAGATCGTGTTTCAGGTGAAAAAAGTTCGGTGGAATCGTTCCATGGATAACATTTTGGTTTCTTTATCAGCACATCGTGGCAGTCTTTGGGATATGCGAAGACCTGGAGGCCCCGTACTAGAATTTGCTGAGGTAGGCATTTCACTAGGAGTACT